TCGACTCCCCACTAGATGGAGTGACGACCTGGTAAGATATGCAGGAAGTCGATGGATGCAGGTGGCTCAGGACCGTGCTTTTTGGCATTACTTGGGGGAGGCCTATGTTCAGCAGTGGACTTGTGAAGGGCTGTAATGATGAATGATGAATGATATGAGAAGATATTGTTGATCCGTAAACCTTGTAGCCTCCGATATATTTTGGTATAACCAAATCTAATATTTGTTGTTGTTTATTAAGGGATACACTACTTGTTTTACTGTCATTTTAATGTCATCATGTCGACTTCGACCGCACGGGTTTACTACAACGGGATTTCATGGGTTTTAATTTTTTTACAGGGAACCCTATTCTTTATTTAAAATGAAATTAGGCTACTTTTAATCCTTAAGGTAGTACTCCTTATAACATCAGCCATTTCGGAGATTAGCCGGAACAAACAGACGGATAGACTGACACAAATATTTTTAAAATTGATTTTTTAATGTAAGTAACTTTTATACTTTTCTATACATTTAGTAAAAAGCTGTTATACTAATATTACACTTCTACTTCAATTTTTATTTATTTGTATAGATTATTTAAACCGGTTAGTTTCGCCTTACGGTATAAGAAGAGTATAGTATACCTATAGTCTAGTGTAGTGTTAATCAATTGCCAGTATATTAGTAAATACATTTGCAATAAATGGATATGAAAAACTTTATTAAATGTAATCCGTCTTACTTATTACAAAAAGTTGATTATAATTAAACTCAGGTTTAAAGAGGTCCTGTGGAGGCAGACTTCTTTAGTAAGAAAAACTTTTTATGAACAATAGTGCAAGCGAAAGACTATCAATATACCACGTTTTTTAATAAAACGATATGAGGGTAGAAAACGTCTTAGGGAATTGATATTAATCAAGTTTAAAAAAAACTGAGGTCATATCAAGTCAATGATTTCAGCAATAATGATGGAGTTTCATCGAATAACAACATTCATAAGAATAAAATTATACATCTGATATGTATTTCAAATTTAAAATACCCCGACCGCCGATAAGTGCAGTGCAAGCTTCAGTTTTATGTAGATTTAACTTCAAAAACTAGTACGAGCAGTTTTTTATCTTATTTTTTTATTGAAATAAGTAAGTAAATAAATGTCGCTGAGATCACCCCTAATGAAGTCAACGCTCCATACCCCCCGTGCTCTAATCCAAAGCCCTGAAAACTTATAGCTTGAATTACAAAATCTTTTTTAAGTACCAGAAAATTGTAATATAGTAAACGATATTAATGACAAGCTCATGAAAATTTTGCATACGACTGATGCTACGTTCTGCAAGACCCGTCGCAAAAGAACCCAAAAACTTTCAATCCAATGGTTGTGAGTTGAGACACGGGAAGTGAAATTGTTAGTTTCAACAGATACGACAGCATACAGGCACTAAATAGACAGACCCTCAAATGCATGTTTTTAAGCTATTGCATAGCTTCTATCGCGGGCCTTGAGCGCAGGGACCGAATCCAGAAATTCCGTAACGAAAAAAACCTCACGCTCCCCACTCCGACGGGCACGGAGGTGTGGCGTTGAAAGCCGTGCATCGTCTAACGTCGTTTCAGTTCGGCAGACTTCGGCACGGTGTTTGTGTGCGTGTGACTAGACGTACCTATGCGTGTACACTAGCTGCTAACTCAATGATAAAAATTCCTGAATAACCTAGATGTATTGTAAGATATTAAAAATATTTTAAACAATATTAACTTCTCATTTATTCATTAAGAGAAAAAAAATTGTTTTCTTATCGGTCACCACGCTCAAAAAGTGTAACTTGATTTAATATCAAAGACTTAACTGCATAAATAAAATAAATAAATAATTATAATTGCATACGTTGATAAAAATGCTATGCAATAGCTTTACCGCGGCAGTCACCGAGTGCCACACGTATTTTTTTTTATATAGAAGAGGGGGCAAACGAGCATACGGCTCACCTGATGTTAAGTGACTACCGCCGCCCATGATTAACCGCAACACCAGGGGAATTGCATGGGCGTTGCCGGCCCTTTAGAAAGCAGTAAGCTCTTTTCTTGAAGGTCCCCAGGTCGTATCGGTCCGGAAAAATCGCCGGTGGTAAACTATTCCACAGAGAGGTTGTACGCGGAAGAAAACTCCTTTTGAAACGTACAGTGGTGGACCGCCAAGCTTCCAGATGGTGTGGATGGTATCGGGACGTTTGCCGCGTAGTGCGTTCACAAAATTTGGCGGCAGGGATTAATCCGAACAATTCCTCAGAGCACTCTCCATGGTATATGCGAAATAAAATGCAAAGAGATGCAACATCTCTTCGCAGTGCCAGTGAATCGAGCCGATCGGAAAGCACTCGGTCGTCGACGAGTGTGGCGAGGTTTACGCAACCTCAATGCTGTTTCGAGTTGAGCGGAATCAAGGCTCCAAAATCTTTGCTATAGATGTGTCTGCCGGAAATATCCATTTGTCGAAGTTAAATACCCACTATGACAGTGTCATTCCAGGGACAATTGAAGTTTTGAAGAAGATTGTGAGGTTCTAAGGACAGCTGTCGTCGTACAGTGTGTGTGTAGTCGTCGTCAGAGCCTCATGCAAGTGTAATCATCCAAGACCAAATCACATGTGACCGATATCCCGAACGTTAGTCGAAGCGAGTTTATGATGGCTCTTCAGTATATTAAAAACAGTCAGGATAAAATTAGTCTTTTGGATGCTCTTTACTTCTATCCTCCATGGTGGCACTACTCCAGAGACGTGAAGCTCTATTGAAGAACTACAGGCCGATTTCGCTTCTGAGTCGCGCGTGAATTAATGATGGGTAAAAAAAGGTTTTGAGTGAACGCCTTGTACCGGTGAGTGAAGTATGGAGCCGCCCCTCACTAAATGGAATGACGACCTGGTGAGTGATGCAGGAAGTCGACAGATCCAGGTTGCTAAAAATCGAGCTTTGTAGGATTTCTTAGGTGGGACTTATATTTAGTTGTGGACTTCTTGTATAGTATTATTACAATAATGACCAGAATCGTATCTGCCAATGTTAGTGTATTAATTTCGACGTTTAGATCCGTTTCTTACTAGGAATCTTCCAACAAAGTAAGTAGTAGAAGTGAGTAGACAAGTTGTCAAGTATTGGTTAATAAAACGAAATAAGACATGCTGGTTTTATGGTACTGCTATTGCCAATCCACCGGATGAACATGGCGACTGCTGATTCTTCGTTCAATTTTGCGCTCTCCTTTCAAAGTTTTCTGATACCTGAGCTAAAATCGCACGTAATGTAAAGAATAAAAATACATGACTTGAGGTAGGTAGTTACATACTGAGTTTATTATCATTACATACTAGTATATCTGTAGGTAGGTACAGTGGAGCTAAAACTTTAGAGCTGATGCGAGTAAAAGTTTTTAGGACATAAGTTATTCAATCGATTTGTTCGTTAATTTTGGCTATAAATCAATATACCTATGTGTGAAATTTATTATTATCAGACAGCACAGCTGAAGAGTCGTTACACACCATTAAACTTGGTAGCCACCTGACGAAATGCCCTAAGCGTTTATCCTTTTTTGTAAACGCTTCATTGCACAAAACAGTGTACGCTATTGTTTCTATAGAGTTTTATAATGACAACAGCATAGCAAGCCTTTATTAGTCTACTAGATTTTATTAGTCTACTAAGTCTATAGATCTTGAACCTTGATCCCATCTAGAACGAATATTTGTCTAGTTTTGTCATCTAGAGTGTTGACTTCGTTTTGATGTCTTAGTCGCTATAGAGAAAGCAAAAAAGAGAAAAGTAAGGGTAACGAACAATCACTGTTGACGTAAGGATGCTGTGACCCAAGTACACGTACTAATATCCTGAATAAAGAATTAAATGCAGATACAATGTCATCATTACCAGGGAGCTAGGACGGAAAGACTAAATTAGAGTACCTCGTTGCCAGTTAAAAGGGTCTCCGTCATAAAAAGTTCTGCTATTTCACACTGTTATTTCCCAGTGTGTGTGAGGTTCAAGTATGGACTAGACTTCCCCGGTCGAGCCAAACCAATCGCGTAGTAAGTGATAATGTAGCTGCGGCGTCGCTATACCACTTCAGGAGTATACGAATTACGTAAACAATTCCTATTTTATGTCCCCATCTCCATGCTTAGATTCAGGATTTAAAATTTTAAAATTTTGTAATCTATGACTCATTATTTTACGAAAAACTAATTGCACTTTTAAAATAAATCATGACTCCTGACTACCCAACAAGCGCATAATTGTTCAAGTATTTACAACATTCAGTTTCCAGCTCATTTACATAGAAAATCGTTTTCGCCCCTTATTCAAATTAGACAACCAACCCCTCCTGAAGCCACTGATTTTATTTCAAAAGAAAGAAAATCACGCGATTGGCCAGGTGTTTCCCTCCAAACCGCCAACAGTTCTTCATGAAAACCGATGAAAAGTTAATATATCTGTCCCCTTCTCACTTGCTGTCCGTTCTGCTTACTGACTCTTTCGCACTTAAGGGGTGAATTGGAACGATGCTACACTTACTGGCAGTGCCTTCCAAGCTGAAACATTTGACGGACGCATCGTATTGTTTATATATTTTCATCTAAATCAAGTGTATTAACAGTAGTAAAACTACGTCTTCATAAGTACACTAATAAACATCTAAAAGACTAACAATTTTCACAATAATTAAAATACGAAAGTTAAAAAGTAATATGATAATAAGTGAACGGTTCGTCGACGATACTAATTTCACTGAAATGTGATTGAAAGTGAAAACTAAAAGCGTAACAGAACATTATGCTCTATTTCTGATCGGGTCTCTCCGGTAAACTCCATTAATTCCTATAATTTCATCAATATTAAAATTAACTTCAAATAAGACCCGATACCTCGTCAAAATATCTACGCGATGTACCATTTAGGATTTGTGGTAGACGCGACGTAAAATCAGTGTACGTAAAATGACTGTTTAGCGCTACAATGGAATATACTTGGCACATGGAAGAACCAGGCAATCAAGAGGATTCAAGAGTCAATAGATTACAAGGAAGAAATCAAGGTAACTTGACATGACATGTTTCGAAATGAAATAAAACCATGCGTTACTTTACTGCAGTGATTAATTATTTATTGTATTCGTATTATACGTGGTAGAGCCATGCTGCAGTTATATTGTGGTTGCAGTACGAATGAGTCGGCTCGGCACGGGTAGGACCACGCTCTCACAGAATACCACCGTAAAATAAAAATATAATTGTGTATATTACCAAGTAGTGATAATTCCATCTATTCATCCATCCATAGCAGCCTATAAAAGTGCTATGCTTAACGTAGGTCTCTCCGATAGCTTTCTTCATAGAGTGGATTTAGCCACAGCTGCCACGCTTGAACAGGCGAGTTGGCAATCGCAGTTATTTTAATAAACTGTTCTCAGGAAGAAGCTGCTGCCCATATCCTGTTTCAGTTTCCCTCTGTCGTCCCTGTAGAGTCATTTCATATAGCGTCAAAGATTCACACCTCTGGTATTGCAATCGTGCCAAGTATGAAGAATGACGAGTAAAGTAAACCCTCCATGCAGCGTGAGTGGCCTATGTCCGACATTAGACTATTACAAGCTTATGAAGGTGAAGTAATAACCCAAAATCACTGTCTAGAACATCACTAAACTCAACTTTAAGAAGTGTTTCGATCTTATTGTCGTGAGCCATTTAATAATCAACTGCTGAATATAGCTATCTCCAGTCAGTGTCCGAGCTCACTCTCCTTAGAATGTGTATTTATCACCGCTTCGAGTAATTCATAGGAATTTTTATTTTTCACAGAATACTAGCAGTGCTACTAACACTAATATTCCCAATAACCTCTCCAGTTAAGCTTAATATGTCGAATGGCGGTATGTACGTCTCCATGAACATTATGGATTCCATGTACTGTTTTATAGGATACAGGTGACAAACGAGCACACAGTCCACCTGGTGTTAGTGGATGCTGTGGCCCATAGGCATCTATCTACATTTAACCTCCATTAAAGTCAAAATGCAGATGCGTTGTCACTTGTCACCCTTTAGGACTAATGCGGAATGCCTCGAATGTCAAAATGCAGATTGGTTGTCACACTTGAGGGCTAAGATGGAATGCCTCGATTCCAGTAAAACGTTTTCGGTTCTCTACACTCACCATACGAAACACAGCAGCCTTAAGCTGCTATTTTACGCTGGTATTCTGTGAGAGCGTGGTCTTTACCCATAACATAACTGCAGCGTCGCTCTAACACGTACAACAACCACGTACAACGTACACAATCCAGTTTACTGTCAAGTTTGCAGGGCGCTTGAAGCGCCGTATAGTTTACAGTGCATTCATATAGACCATTCACATTCAAATGCTACGTCCAGTTTGCATGATGAAACATTGGCGTCACCGATGACGGACGATGACCCGTTAGCCATCATAGGCTTATTACATCGACTAATGTGATGCATACTTGACCCGCTCATACATACGTTCAAGTTTACATGAAGCTGCAAGCTTGATCAAGTCGGCAGAATTGAAATTCAATTTTTCAAGTAGACTTGGTAGAGCCACGCTTCAGCTATATTATGGTTGTAGCACGAATGGGTCGGCTCGACCGGGGAAGGACCACGCTCTCACAGAATACCAGCGTAAAATAGCAGCTTAATGCTGTTGTGTTTCGTATGGTGAGTGTGGAAATCCGGAGACCCTGTTTTACTGAAAACGAGGCATTCCATCTTAGTCCTCAGGGGTGATAACGCATCTGCGTTTTGATTATTAATCAAGGATAAATGTAGATGTATATGGCAAAGCATCTACTTACCACTGTGTGCTCGTTGGTCACCCTTATTCTATATAAAAAAAAAACTTGTCATCCATACATCGTCAAATTTACCGGACTCCGCTTCAAGCGCACTGCAAACTTGACGGTTAACTGGATCGTGTATGACATCCATTAGGCTCCTGTTGCTTTTATGTTTATAATACTTAATAAAGTTACCCCCATTAAAGTAATTTCTCCTATATCGTAAAAGTGATCATAAATTGCACGTAAACAACAACAGGCACAAAGTCAAAGATATGGTGTGAAATTGTGTGCTAAGTGAATAGTGTTGTTTGAAATAGGTAACCAGAATTAGGGTGGATGCTTCCGTTCTTTAGACGCATAAAAAGATTGAATGAGGAAAGAGTGACAAAAAAAATTTATACTGCAGAAGTGAGTGGCAGAGTTGGTAGGCGACGGACGATAAAATAATAATCAACAAGAATGTATGCGTATATACTATATATATAGAAATATGGAAGATACGGTAAGTGTGCCAAATATTTGTAGGCCATACATATATTTATACAATACATATATCTTTTAAAGATGTAGTTTATTGAGCCAAGCCTCTGTGTCCATAGCCGACCACTGCGACAACTTTCGAATATTAGAAAGACGTAAATTTCATATTATAATCTCGAAAAAAAAATCGTACCTTGTTACATTTTTAAACATTCAAATAAGTTAAATTTCCCTTAATCGACGCAGTAAAGAAACAAACACATGAATGACATTATGAGTTGATTACCTGTGTCGAGTACCTACCTGTGGATCTCCATCATTGCGTGTTTTTAAATTGATCGTTTTTTTGTTGCTGCTTTTAGTTAATTGGCAAGTTTTAATCATTAATCATTATTGTTATTTATTTTTAAAATCGTTTATCCCACAGTAGTAGGATTTTGCTGTATGTGGAGGCGTTTCACATTAATATTTTTTATTTAATTGAAGTGAGAGATAACCTCACGGTCTACCTGATGGTACGTAGTTACTGGACATTTATTTATTTAAACTTTATCGAACCTTACATTAGTATAGGATCAAAAGGCGGACTTAATGCTAAAAACACTCTCTGCCTGTCAACCTTAGGGCAGTGATAGTACTATATAATAATAATAATACATCTCCTACAAACTTGAAAAGAACAAGGCTAAAGATATGCGAAAAAAGAAGGACTAAGTTGGAATACCTCATATCCTGTTATTATTCTGGCACACAGCAGTGCACGCACTGCTGCTTGCAAAAATAGGAAGAGGATGATGCCTACCCAGGATTCCTGGTCAGACAAGGTGTCCTACCATATTGCACATGAGCAAATCCCATGCGGGATTCCCCGCGGTCTTGTAGCGCCGCAGCTATATGATGAACCCCTGCGCTACCAAACCGTCATTTAACCATCCCTGATCAATGATAGTAGCGAACAGAGATTTATTATTTTGATGTATCACATATTGTGTGCCACGTTTAAACTTTATATCCAAATGACGAACAAAGCTCCAATAACCGACAAACATTAATTAGTTAAAACCAAAAAGATTTAAAAAATATTATGTTTAATGAAAAATCTCTAATATTATATATTACTAGCGATCAGCCCTGACTTCGCACGGATTCTACAACAATCTGGACTCTACCACAACGACACCTACCGGGTCCAACTATGCCAATAACCTGCACCGCAGTGCAAGAAATATGTTGACAAAGTTTCGTCACAATTTTATGAACAGTATAGCAGAGCATAAAATTATATAGTATAATTAAAATTATATAAAAAAGAGTTATTATATAAAAAAGTGTATACAAGTGATATTTTCTATGAGAAATATAATGTAGTTGGAACCCTAAAATTGTAACTAAATGCGTTTGTGATTATGCAGTCGTAATCTAAACATACTCGAGCCACTTTGACGTCAAACGATAAAAAGACATGGACTGTTTTAAAATTATCATGAAATAAACGAGATAAAACTTACCTATAGTCGGACGCATTAAGTTTATACAATATACTAAATACTATTTCCGTACAGTGCTACCTCGATATAACTAAACTAAAGAGAATTAGGAAATATTAGTACTAAGTAATTCGTTATAATGAGCTGTGTTATATAGAGTTTAGGTAGGACTACAAGATTCTTACAAGATTTAACTTGAAGACATGATTAATTGTGGAATTAAGTGGGAATAATTAATAGGATATATTACGTCAAAGTTCTAAGTTGAAAAAATTCTTTAAATAGAGGTAAATAATACCTTCTGTGTTCAGCAATTATTAAAAATTCATTATAACGAGGTTTTTGATAAGTGTATTCGTAATCTAGAGGTATATTTTGCATTAGCTCTTACGGACAGATTTTAGAGATTTCAAAAAATTCGTCAAATCGAAGAATTCGTTATATTGAGGCTCGTTAAATCAAAGTTACGCTGTTTAAGGTAAAAGGTATACTTTTGTTATAGTAGTTACTTTAGAAAATAAATATATTATGTAGTCTTTTAATTTGAGGGCCTCTAAATTTGAAATCCATTTCTAGGTATTAAGGCCCTTGATGTTAACTATAGTTAATATTTTTATCATCCTATAACATACATAAAATCAAAATCTAATATAACAGTAAAAGGTTTTTTGATCGTTACAAAAAGCAGAAGGTTCATCAGACAAAAAAGGTTATATAATGCTTCTGATCGTAACCTAACCGACGAAAATAAATTCTAATAATTAAATTTAAAAAAAAAATAATAAAAAACGACTAAAATCTAAGATAAATTAAGTAAATTCTCCATCTTTTAATAGATGATATACGTGGTGATATACGATTTTTATACGTGGTAGAACCATGCTGCAGTTATATTAGTAGTATGGTTGTAGCACAAATGGGTCCGCTCGGCCGGGGAAGGACCACGCTCTCACAGAATACCAGCATAAAATAGTAGCTTAATGCTGCTCTGTTTCGTATGGAGAATTTAGAGAACCGGATACCCTTTTTACTGGCAACGAGGCATTCCATCTTAGTCCTCAGGGGTGATAACGCATCGGCGTTTTGATTCTTAATCAAGGATAAATGTAGGTGTATATGGGCCACAGCAACTACTTACCCACTTATCAGGTGGACTTTGTGCTCGTTTGTCACCCTATCATATAAAAATAAAAACTTAAAAGCAGTGGGTGGTGATAACTCAGGGATAACAGCAGCAACCTGGGTTCGATCCTACCGGCATCAATGAAATTG